AAGTAGACTTACTGTGTCTAATATACCTCCCGCGCTGAGCAGCAGTCCAACTCGTCCCTTCCCTGCCACCATCCAGGGGATCGTTTCCAGGGAGGTGCAGATAACTGGTGTTACTATAAGACTTGGGGTCCTTGGAGTCCATATAATGGAGATCTGATGTTATGTTCTGTTTGCCTGATACACGTGAAGTGTTGGCAATGTGGATTCAGCTGGCTAAGAGCCATAAAATAAGTTTTCCCTTTTTTGGCTTGAGCAGTAGAGTTGAAAACAACTGGCTGAATATGTGCAACCAAAAGGAAATCCCAGTGTGCAGGAAACTTGAAAATGCTGGGCTAGAACACATATGACTTCTTAACTTTAAGATGTGTTTGGAAGACACTCCAGCCTTGACTGGTGTGTGCTTAAACTGCAAAATAAGCAGACTGGAGGATGTTTCAAGATACAACACTGTGTTCATCTCATATCCATAGTTTGACCAGAGAGCACAGGTTTAACGGGAGGGTTAATTCGCTTGCAGACACAGCTAAAAGCCTTTGTGGGTCTGAGAGGAAGGACTGGAGTGGGGCACTGCTATCCTGGATGTGTAGTGAAACTGAAACAGATTACTTTTTCCTGTCCACTCTCAGACCAAAGCTTTACATACCACCTAACTATGCAGGATATCATACGCTATGCTCAGTACCCATATTGACAAAGGCAATTTGTGTTAGGTATGTGCAGGTGCATTTTGACTAAGACTTTTTTTATTTAGAATTGCTCAAAAGCCAAGGGGGCAGAGGGCAGAAATTTTGTTCTGTAGTTAATTCAGAAGCCAGGATGCTTGTTTTTAATACTCTGTTTTTGAGGACTACTTAAAACTATTTACCAAGGATTGGAATGATCTTGCCAAGTTCAAGGCTCTTTGTGTTACTTCTTTCCTGTATAAAATGGGTATTTAAGAAAGAAAGAAAGAAAAAAAAAAAGAGCAGCTAATGTTTTTAGCATGTTCCCCATGTTCTTCTGTACAGAACAAAATAATTAGTTAATCCTCTGATGTTGTGTTAGCACAGTACTTGGAAAACTGAAATTCGAAGAGCTATTTTCAGAGAACTGCAAACCATTTATCATTTAATTTCCTTTTTTTTTTTTAAATGAACCTACATAACACCTGACACTTGCATTTCTCAGTCTATCTGTCAAGGGTTGATAATTCTCAGAACATGATGTTTGCTAAATTTGTACATATTCTGACATACCTAAATTATTGAGATAGACTTTTTTTTTTTTTCTAATTCAGTTGAGGGAAAAATCATTGAGGCAATATCAATTTCATATAGAAAGCTTTGCCAGAATACCCTTTGCAAGCATGGCTTTAGAAGACCCCATGGGAAATCAAAAAAATGTTAATCCACACTCTGACCTTTTCAGCTGTTCATTGGACCACCTTAGTAAAAACAATGATTGCCCCTATGGAGGATCAGGTGACACCATGTCTGGAAATTTTTTTGGATCAGCTTTTGTTTCTGTTTAACTTGCCTCTCGATTGTATAGCTATTTGAGTTCTGTGCTGAGTCTAACAGAATGTTGTCTCTAGGGACATGTAACAGTATATAAGCATACAAAATGCATAGGAACGTTGTAAGTTACAGTAGCACTTGCCAGTTTTTTCAGCTTGTGCAGTTTTGGTTTGCAATTGACAAGAGGCTCTGATTTTGTGCAATATAAAAAATATATGTAGCAGGTCAGTTTCAGTGCTTTGAAACCCATGCTGTTGCCTTTACTTTTTAGCGTATGCTGATCACAAGACAAAATATTTTTTACTAATGATGAAGACAAAGCTTTGATCGGTTTTCTGTACACACAGCTTTTGCACTCCAAGTTAGCCTCAGCATCTCTGAGGTTAACATCTTCAAAATACTAGTATTCAGCTGAACTGCATTTCAGTAACCATTAAACAGTCTTTAGTCTTTCCTTCACTGAAAGGTGGAGCTACATGACTGTGTCTTTAAATGCCTGCATATATATGTACGCATACATAGGGTATAAACTGCCAGCAGTTACGTACTGTACAGTATTTATTCCTTAATTTGACATTTATCATCCAATATGGGTGGTAGTACAAAGTACATTTTCAAATCGTACACACTGTAAATCAGGATATTATCACTCAGTTATTTTTTATAAATCCACCCGTTGGGCGTTCAGTCATTAATAGTTCCAGTTTAACAAACCAGTTCAATTAAAACATTTCAAGAGGTTTTGGAAAAATTGGGATCATTTTCCTCTACTCTCTGTTTTTCACTTTTCATACCCTGCATTTCCTAATTCCAGCTGGGAGAAAAACTGCTGTGTTGCACTTTTCTGTGCAGTATTTTTGGCCAAATTAAAAGCAGGAAGTAACAGAAAGTTCACAGAAGAGCATATTCTTGTGAGGTTTCTTGTCCAGCTCTACAAACCAAGAGATTCAGATAAGATTTGCCTACGTGTTTACATTACTAAATTTCTGTGCCACTGCCTGGAAAACTTGTATCATGGACATTTTATGGTAAATTAGATTAATTATTCTTTAATATAATGGGGGGGGGGATTAAGGTGGCAAGATAATTCACTTAGATAATTTAAACAAACAGCCCCTTTGCCCAACAAAAATTTGCACAGTTCCTATAAGCCAGATTAAACCTACTGAACTTCGTAGGCTAACCCCCGTCCTTCCTTTGTGAGATGTGAGAAATTGCCAACTGCGTGTCATTGCTCCAAAACATAGTATGAAATACAGATCGTTCAATAATTCAGTCTGGGTGAAAAGACTTTGCTATAGCATTTTAGTAAGAGAGTAATAAAGATGTGCATATGACAGCAGGTTAGTAATAAATATATTATGAAAGTAATAAATACAAAATCAAAGAAAAGCTGCTTCAGCACATAAATGAGAATTTTATGCAAACTTGAGTAACAGATTGACGTGCTCTGTGTACAGCTACCATGCATTCTGTATATGGGTTTGTAAAATGCTTAGCAAAATCAAAGAATTTGGAAGTAAATTGAGAATTTTGTTAAATTTTAAACGAAAATTAGCATAGCACATTTGGGTTCTAATCTTCAAGGTATTAAAGTAATTAGTGTGTTTTTATTTATCTCATCACAAGAAGCTTCCTACTGATAGCTTCAGACTATGGCAGATTCTTAACTGTTCTAAATTTAGATATTTTTTTATTTAATGTAGCAGTATTTAGATGTAACCATGAAGAATATTCACCAAATATTTTCTCCACTACACTCTGTTTGGATGCACTACTGTAAACAAGGACCCCAAATCACCCTGATTTGTCTTGCCTTCCAGCAGTACACAACCTCAGAATTTAAATGAAGTTTTACTTAACAGGTTGAGCTGTTGGTAATCTTTTGTTCCAATGTTACAATAAACATAGCACACATCATCATTCTAGGATTTTTCGTTGCTTAGCCTAGATTCTCCAAAACTTAGTCCAGACATCAGGACTGGGAATTCAGATTTCATTTTGACATCTCACCCCTTTTCCAAAGGATAGATTCTTTTCTGAATTGATTATTCCTGGCTAACACGAGAATAAAATCTGAGAGGCAACAATAGTTTTCATGGAATAACCCAATATACTGTTTGAATTTGGGTTTACTAACAAATGCAAGTGTGGGTAATGTTCTGTCTGAAGCCATGTCTTTGGGGATTTAAAGGTCATCTCTCATCTTTCATTCCTAGCTAATCAGCCTGGGGGTTAGATGCATGATCTATATGCGGTTGCCATTCCTGACTCTCTGTAGAGGAAACATGTCCTGAAATGTTTAATGACGTGTTCTTTATCGACTTTGATCCCCATCAGTTGTCTGGCCAATCAGTTCCAGAGAATAGATGTCATAGCTCACAGAAGACCTGTTGAAGATGCAGAAATCAGATTATTTAATATTATACAAGATGGGGTCAAATATACTTTCTGTTCAGCTCACTATCTCTTGTACATAACTGTGTATAACTGTAGATACCACATTCAAAAATTTATTAGCACAGATGGAGACAAATTGGTGGTACCAGGAGATCAGGTCCCCTCCCTATGGTTTCACTGTGCCTACCATTTTCAGCCAGTAGAGCTCGATCAAGCACAACATGAAAGACCAGATGTGTGTCCAACAAAGAAGTATTTCTGTTGCTGTTCTCCTGACATTTCACAGGTGAAGTTGCACGAGGTAGCAGAGTTATCTGTATTTTTGCCACCAAACCTAGCAGGGTCTTCCTCAGTAACCCTGCTCACCAGACTGGTGTTCAACAGGTGCTGTGGCTGATCTGTTTGGTTCATGCATTGAATCAAAAAACAGACCCTCCTCTAATGGTAGTTCTCCACCAAGATGGTAATTTGAACTGCCTTAAGGAAGGGATCACTGTGTCCTGTAATGGACAAATGGTAAACTGAGCGCACGAAGCCGTCAGTGGGGAGCGAGAGATGGGAAACCCTTTCTGATGACACAACTCATTAGAGTCATTTGACCCATCTTCAAATAGTCTTATCAGTCCTTTGAATCTGTTGTAGAGAAAAATAATACAAGCAACCACTCAAAAGATAAAAGGTTGGTTATTTTCCAGTTAGGGTATTCTTCCAGAGGAACATTTGCAGAACTACGGACTATTCCCCCTTTTCCTGGAGCCTGGTACCTCTGAGGTTCCTTGGCTGAAAAGGAATAGACCTACTTACACCCTAAGCTTGAGAATCAAGTGAAAGCAGCGATAGGTATTGCTAACCAAAACAAAAACGTTAGACAGGCCACAGGTAGGTTTAGCATACCCCCTTTTTTCCTTTTGTGTAAGCGTTAAAAGTACAGGAATCTTCCCTAATGTGCTTACAGCCACACTTTTGTCATTTTCAGAAGATGCTGGGGTCATTTGGTGCTTGTTATTTTTATTCTCCGTATGCAAAGTGTGGCCCTTCACCACCCAAATGATGCATAAGAGCACAGAAACAGTTTTAGCACTGTTTTTTCTCACTACTAGTGTGATGTCTGACCGCTGGGGCAGACACTTTATCTTCATACGCCGCATTACCCAGGACCTTGCCCTGAGGCTGCGGTGCCCATACCGGTGGGAATCAATGGGCTCAGAAGCAGGACCACGCTCGGGGCCGCCCTCGCCCGTTCCCCCGCGCCCCTCTGGCGCGGCCTGGCCGGGGCCCCTCGGCGGCAGGGACCAACAAACCACACAGGTTTTGGGGAAAGCACTTCAGGAGGATCTGGCCGCGACGGGGCGGGTTACAAAGAGCCGGGCAGCGGCCGGAGGAGGTGGGGCGGGAAGCGCTCCGCTTCATCCCCCTCCTCCCCCCGGCCTACGCTTCCCATGGTGCGTTGCGTTCCAGAGGGAAGCGCGCATGCGCAAGTCCACGGGCACGGGTCCTCCGCGCCGCCCGGAGTGGAGGGTTTGTTTCCGGGCCGAGGTCAAGAGGTCGGGTGGGAAGCGCC